GAACTGAAAGTGAAACTGCTTGTGTTTTGCTTGCATTTACTGCTACCTTGGAAAACCTGCTTTTGATAATGTATTGTATATTATTATTATCTTGAAACCTACTTTCTGAACATGATTGCTGCTGCAAACTCTGCCCAGCCAGGTCAGCTTCAGCTTATTGCAGCCTGGTTCAGCCCAGCTGATTGGCAGATGGATCGGACTGTCAGAATACCCCCAATCAGCTGTGCCAGGCTGCAGGGATTGCCACAGACCATCGCTGCTATCTCCATGCTTCATGTTTTCGGCCTCTGGTTGGGGGGGGGACTACATTCAGTTTATAAGATGCACCCAAATTTTCACCCTCTTTTTTGGGGGGGAGGTGCGTCTTATACTCCAAAAAATACGGTATTTGCTCACAGAAAACACACTGGTATTTCATTCTTCAGAGGTAAATCACCAGAGATACAGATCAGTCTCATGCCATTGTATGCTTACTTTCATTCTTTGCTCTTTTTATGAACAATTCTTAACTTTCCATTTGATAGGCAGAGGTATGTTCTTCTAGACATGAAGGCTTGGTCTATAAAATTTAATGTACTGTATATGTTATATATATTTGCAAGTCTAATGCAAAGCACCTCAAAGGTTTGCAAATTCTATCCTGGGAAGCTTTAGTACTTAGTCTACAGTCAATTTTGTCAGAAAGCATTCATTCATTCAAGGAGAGTAAATATTTACTTCCCTCTTTCACTGTTTTTCAAATTGCATGAATTTTTGCATTTGCTTTCCAGGTACCCCTTTGCTATATGCAACATTTGGAGTCTGTTTTGCAATTATCGCTGGGTTGTGCATATTAACTTACCGAAACTATAAAAAGGTAACAGCAAAATGGACAGTCTTTATTCATTTCTGTCTCCCTTTGTGTGTTGTTTTTACCATTCACAATGTCCCATTCCCTCTAGCAATTTAGATATGAAAGGCAACTGCATATGATACAAATGGTTGGTTCTTCCAACAATGAATACATCTACATAGATTTCAGTGAGTTGGAGTATGATGTCCAGTGGGAGTTTCCCCGAGAAAATCTGAAATTTGGTGAGCTGTCCATGGTACTCTTCCTGAAGGCTAATCAAGAAACAAACAAGCACAAATTGTAAATAAGGAGAATACTTTCTTTTTTATAGGGCAAGTACTGGGCTCTGGTGCCTTTGGAAAAGTCGTGAATGCTACTGCATATGGAATTAGTGAAGCTGGAGCCTCCATCCAAGTTGCCGTCAAAATGCTTAAAGGTAGCTAAAAATTTAAGAATTTGGTCTCTTTGTATCAACCCGATTTTCTCCCATCACTAAAGTAGTAAGCTTGGTCTCTAAACAGAGGTGGGCTGTACTTAGGTTCACAAGCAATTTGCTAGTTGTGAGCGTACGCATGAGTGCATGCATGAGTACATGCTAGCTTTGCTCGCATGCGCCCCTTTGGGAGTGAAGCGGAGCATCAAAGAAGCAGGTAATCAACTCAGGCAGCTCTAGTGAGTAAAACAGGGGCAGCATGAAACTCAGCTGGACAGCGAGGGTGGAGGGAATGAGCCAGAAAGTTAGTTATAAATGGACAACTTAGCACAAGGGCAGATGGGCGGGCCGAGTCAGCGATCAAAGCTAAGGNTTAATGATTGACAAATGATGAAATATTTGTGTTTTTTTTTAAAGAAATAAAATAAAAAAGTTTTTTACGAAAACATCAAGATGCCAGCTATAATCCAGTGGTATATGCAAAAGGGGCAGGGTTTTACCCACAGCTGCCATCTTGATTTTTTTCTAATTCATTCTACTGAAGCCCCCAAAGTTCTCTCTTATTTTTTTATTTGTAATGTTGAATTTTCAATACTTTGCATCAGCATTAGAAAATGTGAATATTTTTTTCTTCCTTTCAGTTGCACTGAAATCACAGATGGAATTTCAAACAAAGTACGCCAAGGAACAATATTTGGATCCTGGATCTCAAGCAGCACTTTAGATACAAAGAACATACAAGCTGGGCGTTTCGTTGAATGCTGTGCAAACAATTCAGTTGGCTATTCTTGTGAATTTTATTTTGTTGAACCAAAAGGTAGTGTATAATTTAGACTACTGGGGATATGATGAAATAGTATGGCAGTAATTGGATTTTAGAATTTAAAAGTAGCATGTTGAGCAAATCTTAAAAGATTAAATTTAAGAAATTAAACCCATCTGAATTTTTTTTTGCTTCCAAACCTGTATTGTAGAAACACTGTACACCGAGGGTTGGGTTTTGATTTTTGATTTTTTTCACTTTTCATTTTGTAGTCTGCATTTGCAGTTAGTAAGACAGAACACAGTTTCTATTTTACCAATGGGGATCTGAGACTGGGGGAAAAATCCACTGAATATATTTAACTGACATACCATATTTTTCGGAGTATAAGATGCTCCAGAGTATAACACACACCTTAGTTTTTGGGGAGGAAAATAAGAACAAATATTCTGCCTCTGCCTATCAGCATCCATGGTATTCAGTTGACTCATAGTAAGAAGGTCAGCCAATGAATAGGCATAGCAACTAAGCCAATGAGGGCTATTTGGACTCTGAAATTTGCTATATGAGCAACAAGGAAACAGAAAGGAGCCTGGCTTAGCCAGGAACTGAAAGTGAAACTGCTTGTGTTTTGCTTGCATTTACTGCTACCTTGGAAAACCTGCTTTTGATAATGTATTGTATATTATTATTATCTTGANCTTCAATGTCTTAATGATTGACAAATGATGACATATTTGTGTTTTTTTTTAAAGAAAAATAAAAAAGTTCTCTTATAAGGAAAAGTTTGTTCCAGCTTTATTTATTTTGAATTATTTATTTTGAATAAGACATAGTATTCAAATTATTCAAAATTATTCATTATTTATCTCCTTTGTTACCTTATTTTTATTTGGAATAAAATGGAGTTGGGCAGCAGAAAATCTGAAGTAGTCAAGGTACAATACCCTTATTTCTGGATTTTCCTGATAATTTGGGGAAATTTTCAATAATTTTTGGAGCCTAATCCTCTATTCACATTGGTTCAAAGTCTTGTTATTCATAGTCTTGTTATATGCACCTGTAGTCCTCATTGAATGACTTTTTCAGCAAGAACCTGAAGATAAGATGGATGTTTGTAGTATTTACAACAAGTCTTCATAGTTTTGGCCACTGAAGTGGTCAAAACAGCCAATACAATGCATGTTCTTGTACAAGAACAGGAAGTTCAAGTGCAAAACCCAAGGGAAGGTATAAATACCCCCACTCTCAACTCCATGTGGTCAGCTGCACCAGGACCACAAATATTATTAATTATGATTTGTAAAGCACAATAAAACAAAACTATTAAAATGATTTTTTTGAAATCAAAATCAGCTGCATACTGTCAGTACATAACATGAATTTCTATACCTTGGCAAAAGTGTACTAAAACTGTAAAATCGAGGGGAAGAATTAAGAAGTACAAATACTTATAGAAAGGCAGTGAAGACAAGAAAAGTATGTTTGTCAAAAGAAAGTAAAATGACTACATATTATACAATACGTGCTTGCAACTGTTATATGGAAATGAGAGTTAGCTATGTCAGAAAAAATAAGAAAATACATTGAATGCAGTAGAAATGAGGTACTTTTGAAATGTGTACAGCAAAACAAGAAGAAATATTAAGTTGTGTTTCCAGGGCATTGATGAGGTTTCCAAAAAGAAAAAAATGTAAAAATAAAACGCAACGCATGAAGCAGTACATGAACAGAATTTATAGAAAAAATGCTAGATTTAGCCATGTTGCTTTTTTTGTGGCTTTAATTTCTTTAGTTCAGTATTTCTTATGCCCTTTTCATACTTTCCGTAACTTCACTTATACTATATTCTAATAGAGTATTATGAAAGCTACCTATGTATTTATATCAAGATCAATCCCATTAACAATTAAATACCTGGTAAATGATCTGGTTTCATGGTTCATTGTTTTCCTAAATACAGGAGGCATGGGTCCTCTTTCAGAAATATATTCAGTAGCCTGGGTCCTGTAGATTACTTTTTGGGGGGCAACAGAGGGCAGGTGGGGACTTCAGAAAGGTTTTTCCTGCTGATCTGACTGGGCAGATTCCTAGAAGTAACCCCTCAGATGGTCAGATGCTAAGCTATTTATGACTTTTAAAGGCCATCACCAGGGCCATATATTATGCCCAGTAAACAAAAGATTACACTGGTATTACATTCTCTTATACCCATTAGCTGCTTAATCAACTTATTTTGCACCAATTATAATTTTCAAACACTTCTGAAGCACAACCCCGTGTAATGCACAGTGCAATAGTAAAAAAGAGAATGAAACCAAAGTAGAATGAGTAAGCCTCTTTAAATCAGAGTTGATACGTATATTTATGCAAACATGTTCTTTACCACAGCTGTCACAAGCAAATCCAATAACAACTGGGGATCAAGGAATACTCCAAAGTATTCAAAGTTTGTTATCATAACTTCCTAAGCCTACTATTTTCCAGGCTAGACATAAGCAATGATGTCAATAGCTTCTCATACAAATTTTAGATTAGATTATTATCCTTTATAAGTATTGCTTCATAAGACTTTATAAATAACTCAAGGCGGTGAAGATATATAACGCTCCTTCCATTTCTTATTTCTCCGCAACAACAACCTTGTGAGATGGGTTGGACTGAGAGAGAATGACTGGCTCAAAATCATCCAGTTTATTTTAATGCCTAAAGTGGGATTAAAACAAAATTTCCTGTTTTCTAGCTTGGTGCCTTAACCACTAGTAGACCAAACTGGTCTCTAGATCCCTCACCATACAGCAGGAGTGTCAAATTCTATTTCATTGAGGGACACATCAGGGTTGTGTTTGACCTCAGGGTCAAACTGGATTGGGTATGGGTGGGTGGGTGTCAGCTTGACATCACACGTGTTGGGGGCACCTGTGGTGGCCAAGTGCTAAGGCAGGACTTCCCTCAGACCCTCCCTCATTCTCATTATAATCCTTCCTTCCTTCCTTCCTTCCTTCCTTCCTTCCTTCCTTCCTTCCTTCCTCCTTTCCTTCACCTTCCCTCTTCCTTCTCCTTTCTTCTTTCTTCCCCCCTTTCTTTATTTTTCCTTCCTTGCTCTCTTCCCTTCGGTTTTGTTTTTAGTTTGTTTTTAGTTTGTTTGTGCCAGCAAAAACAAAGTCCACCCTCTCCTCCAGCACGCAGCCCTCCCGAGCTCCATTTTCGTTGGCAGAGGCACCACAGGCCGGTTCTTTGCTCTTTTCAGGGCAGCCCTGCGGGCCAGTTCTAAGCACCCTTGCTTAGAACAGAGGGGTATGTATTGCTCCCATGATTTGCATATCAAACTTTTTTTCAAGCGGTTTAAAACTGCTTTACATTTACTGGCACATATTATGCTTACAATCCTGTGTCATCTACATGTTGTGTTTGAGATTTTTTTTATTCTGCCTTTTTTCATAAAGAATTCAAGGTAGCAAATGTATCAAATTACTTCTTCCTCCTCCAATTTTCCCCACAACACCCCACAACAGTCTTGTGAGTTGAATTTAGCCAAGAGAGGGCAATTGCCCAAAGTTACCCAGCTGGTTTTTTATGCCCAGTAGGGCAATTAGAATTCGCAGTCTCCTGGCTTCTAGGCTAGCACCTTAACCAATGCATAAAATTGACTCTCAATATTGTTTTATATAAATTGGGGCCATGTGAGCTCTTTCCCATCAAATAATTGTCTCTTTGATTTATTTGGTATCAGAGAACAAGACTTTATTTCTAACTCTACAAAAATATTTGGGAGGGGTTTACTCTAGTGTTTTTATTTATCATAATTCTTGTGAATCTTGATTCTGCCCCGGGTGTTATCTATTCCTCTCAGCAGTCATACATTTTATGAATATCCCCTCTCTACAGATATTCAGAATCAATTATAAATTTTAAGTACCTAGTCCAGTCTTATACTTCATACCAAAAGCGTACAGCCGTAAGATTTATTGAAGGGCACTGTTTGTTTAGCAAACTACCATACATCACAGAAGTGAGTACACCTTTTCATATGTGCTTTGCATTATTTTGAGGGGCAGCACATTGACAGTTATACAAGCTGTATACTCATTACTTTACATTATAGCCTAAGCATCATTTCTTCAATGTTGTCACATGAAAAGATATGCTTAAAATATTTACAAAATGTGAGGGGGTGTACTCACTTCTATGATATACTGGTATATGCCTAACAACAGAAGCAAAACACATCCAT